ATCCAGTGATAACACAAACCTGATCCCACAAGTACAGATAATTTCCAGTAACCATTGTTTCTATGTTTCCATGGTTACCAGAAGGAGAAAAATTTCTATTTTTGCTTCACAAAACTATTATGGAACATTTTCCAAAATCTGTTCAAGGTTAAAATTAAATTGTGAATAGACAATCTAGTCATTTTTCCTTCACGTGTGCCATCTCTTTACTCTCTTTGCACCCTTTCCGTCAATTCTGACCTGCAAAAATCTCACCAGCTCCACAGGAAAGCTACTCCTCAGAAATAATCCCAAAGGGGGCAGAGATCAAACTCTTTCCTATGGGGTCCTGGAGACACTTCAGGCATCATTCATTCAAAAAGAAAAAAAAGAGAAAAGAATATTGATTCCAAGGTCTAAAGAGTTTGTTATTTATACAAACGCAGCTAGAGCAGATGTGGCAGAAGTCGACAGTAACCTCCCGCTCCATTTTCACGGTAAGTCTGCCTACGAGGGCCAGTATAATTATCTGTTGAACCTATCAACTAGGTAGGCTTAGTGTGCAGTGTTTAATGAAACCTCTATGGAAATGCACCTAAAAGAGTGGGGGTTTTTTTTTGGTTTTCAAGCCCAGGAAATATCTATATCACATAAGAAAGCACAGTGACAGGTCCTTAGTAACCAGTCTGTGCTAACAGGGTCCTGAAGTTCATGCAAGGCCATCCAAAGGTACAAGCTCAGGTCCACGTGAGCTATATGGCTATTTCAGGTGACTGCACCTGAACAGTTACCGCTGCTGCTCTAAAGTGTTACAAAGACACAGTGTAATACTGCTCTAAACAGACTTCAAAGGCATCTAGTTCATTCGGGTGTATTTTAGTGCCTTGCAAAAGGCACATGAAGGAATAAACACAAATAGCCCAAATGTCCCTCCTGGTGTTTTTGATGGCTTCAATTTTGCATCACAAAAATCTCCACCACCTCTTTGGAGAAATGAACCAAGCAGTTCACAAGACCTTTCCTAGAGACCTCTCTGCTCCGTCTTCTGTGGTCTGCTGGAAAAATGTACTTTACTCAAACTACCCACTCATCATATTGCTCTTGTTACTATTTATACCACAGTAGCATGTAAGTGCCTTAGACAAATAAGACTATAAAGATTGGAAAGGAACTGCTTGAAGAATCTACAGTGCAAAAAACAATACAAAGGTAGAAAGGAAAATTAGAATGCTAAGATGTGAAATCACTTGCCCAAGTTCCCAGAGGTCAGGTATCCCACTGCTTGTCTGTTTTATTAGGACTTTGGCCTTTCTAGGTTGTTGCTGTCGAATGGTTTATTTGCTACATGAGATTCACACACAGACACTGCATGAAACATCCTAGGAACAGGATTAGGCATATTTTACCCTGGCATATATTCCATCTGGAGAAATGAAGTTTTTGAAATCAGAAGGCAGTTTTGCTAGCATCAGACATCCATTGTCTCCTGCCATGAAAATGCCTGCAGGGCAACCATAATGAGAAGTGGAAATACCTCACTTCTTCCTCGACTGCCTTCCTGAGTTTGCTGATCTCAGTCTGTGTTCAGACATTGTGAGTCTGGAACATAGACTTCAACGATGCCTCATATCAGAGCAAGTAACGTGCACAGAAGTTACAAAGCTGCTCTTTTATCCCCCAAAATGCTGACACCCTATTGTTTCTTTGCAAATGATCTTTTCCAAAAAGGAAGTAGTTAAATTCCTTTTCATAGTAAATGCAAGGACTACCAGTGTTTATGTGATGGCAGCTTCAGAATTTATACCGGGTTGTGTTTTTCCTTCAGCTGTATCAAGTGTCACTGAGAAGCAATGCTGGAAGTTCAAAAGACAAGCGGTGAAAAATATTCTTCTAACATGCTCCTGTCATGTACACTGCGAGTGCATTAATTTTTGCTTGAACGATGAAACAGGGAGACCTGTAAAACAACAATCTGTTTGTAATGGGATTCTGCACGTAGAGCCCTGATATACAGTCTCGTCTGAGATGTGAAAGGGCCCTGCCAGTGTCAGTGCGATAAATACTATTTTTAGGGACAAGATGAGGGGAAACATTAGCCCTGTGAGAGTGCGTGTGAGCAGCAGAACGTGAGGAGTGCTGTGCTATGTCTCAGCCTGCGCACAGCCGGGCTGGGGTGTTTTGCCAATCAAGGTCAATCTGTGCACACTCGGGGAAAGGCAGGCGGTGAGCGAAACGCCGCGCTCCCTCGATGTGTTGTGCCACCCCACACCTGGGCAGCTTTGGAGATAGCTGCGGACATGCAAAACCCTGGGCTGGGGCTGCCGTGCAATTTGCTGCCGAAAGCACGTGGGGAGCTGCCACTAACAGGCTTGCTGCTGCTGTAAATTAAAGTTGGTCAGTGTAATCTCATTTCTAAGCAGTCTCCAGAGGTGGGACAGGAAAGCCAGGGCTCTCTGTGACTGGGGGGCCTGGTCATGGAGCAGCAACACATCTCTCCCAACGGCGAGTGCATGGCACCAGGAGAGGTGGCATCACCCCATGCCTCTGCCCCAGTTTGGTGATGGGGCAAGAAGGTGGAGTGGGACCACACTCTGCGTCTTCTATCCTATTACTTTATGGGGAACAGACAGAAAAATTTCTTTTGCCTGTGCATTTCATCTGTGAAACCTCTGCCTCATGCTGGTGTCAGCGTACTTCAGCATGGGCTAGACCCATCATTCCCCGGCATAGGGCCCTCAGTGCAGTGGGAGTGGGATGCCGGCATGGCTCCTTTGCTCCCAGCCTCGCTGGCGATGGCTATTTCAGTCTGGAGACTAGGAAGGGATTTTGGATCATTCCAAAGGTGGCATGACAGAAGGCAATGGTGCAAAAGCACAGAGGGTGGGTTGGAGGTGGGGGGGCACTGAGATGCACGCCGGTGTTTCGTGGGGCTGAGCCACGGGGGTGAATGGTGGTTTCTTGGTCCTATAAGGGCTGCTGGGTACAGGGACAGGGGTAAGAAAGGTGGCCCAGGGGCACCCACTGGCCTTCAGCTTATCTTCCCCAGTCCTCACCACCCTTCCCGTGGAACGAAACATGGAGACGCAGTGGGGTGGGACGGGAGGTGCTGCTCGTGTGTGGGTGTTAGCTGAGGCCACGGCTGTGCAGGAAGGTGAGTCCCACCAGATGACTGCCACAAGAGCCCTGCTGTGGGATTGAGGTTGTGCCAAGGGGCAACGGAGCCCATCTGCCCTGCACGTGTTAAATGTTAAAATGCTATACACCCTTCTAACCCCAAAACCTTCTGGTCACCCACACTGACACATACACGCATGTGTAGTTGCAGCGTGGGGTACACACACATCATGTCCCCGGGACTGGCCACTTCTCCAGCCTGCCCCAGTCCCTCTGCTTGGCAGGATGACCGCCTGCAGTCTCAGCCTCCCCCCAGCATCACACCACCCACCAGCTCGCTGAGGGTGTGCTCTGCATGGAGCTGTTTTCCCATGGACAGGAGAATGGCCATCCTCTGGACCTGCAAAATGTCCCCTCTCTGCCTATGAGTCTCCTGCTCTTCCTTATCCAGTTACCAGGAGTCAGTTTAACAGAATTATGGGCTCCCCTTATGTCCCTTCCTGACCTTGGGCTTTGGCTAGTTTTGCTCCTTTTGCTTTGGGAATCAGTGGCGCATCTTTGCAGTGGCACATCTCCTGTGAAAGCATAGGGCTAGTGCATGTGGATTTTGCAGAAAAATCTTTGATTTCATGGATCTGCTGGCAGTTGCTCCTGCGTCAGTCTCAGAAATGTCTCTGTGAAGGCTCACCCCATTTGAGATGTCACCTTCATTTTCATGCAGAGTCATAATGCTCTGCTCCACAGAGAAATGCTCTGGTGTGGCTGCTATGATGATGCCCTGCTGAAAACAGTGGATGTGGTACAAGGAAGGTCAGGGGTGCCTACCAGCTCATACCTGAATGCCAAGATTTTATTTTCCATGACAGTGCTGGTGACAGGCATGGGTTTTGGCAGAAACAGTGCACTGATAACCCTCATGGCTTCCAAGGAGGCCATGTCTGTCCAGCACTCCAACCTTGTCACTTCACTCTTCCAAAGAGCATTGTTCTCCCCTGCTGCTGAAGCCACTCTCAGGACAATGCTGTGTATAGCAAAAAAGACCTTTCTGACATACTTGCATGTCCTGTTGGCAGTATCTGTCATGAAGACAATAGTTTCTCTTGGGCTTTTCTCCAGGGAAATCCAAAGGGTCACAAAGCCATGACTGAAGCAGCAGAAATAAATTACATCCTTCCCAGCTTCCACCAGCAGTCAGGCCTGCATGGAGAGGGTGAGTGGAAAGGCAAAGCATGGTGAGTTCCTGTTGCTGGATACAGGATGATTGCCAAACACCACATGTATAAACTCCTAAAGCAACAGCTGAGGCTCAACGCTCCCCACAAGCCCCACCATTAACCCAGAGGACAGTCTTCCTTGCTGCACCGAATGTGGCATGGCTGAATTATCATAGTCCTCCTGAGCATCTGTGCAAATAATTCATGTGTGCACATGCAAACATTGTCACCTTTAGCCATCCATATGAAAATTTAGAAGGAGGCCACAAAATTATTAGAATCATCGTATTCTAGCTGTCTTGATGACCTTTGACTGTCCCGGTCTAGGTAGAGTTTGGTAAAAAAGGCACCTCCTACTTGGTGATGCTTGCCCAAGGCTTAGACTCCAAAGCAAGAGAATAACCTCCCTTTTCCCTCATCCTGGATCCCAAAGTGCTCCCTATGTGTCACTCTTGAAGTGTTACGATGCACCTTGTATGCTAGAAAAGAAACATCTTGGTGCAAGCCCTAGGACAAAGATGGCAGAAGATACTGAAGTGTCATTTGAATGATAAAGAAGGAAGCTTAGAGCTAGAAGTTCATGGACACCCAGTAGTAAGCAGTTACAGCTCTGGATCAGAACAGGGTAGGTCTGTGTGTCTCCAACTCATATAGCTTTTTCCTCTTATTGTGTCTTTCATGTGTCTTCTGAGGTCACCAGCAGTTCCTTGCAATAGTAAACATCTCTTTAGCTAAGACAATTTTGCAGCTGCAGCAAGTCCGTTGAATAAAGCAAGAGATGCAGCTAGTTTTTCTGGTGAATGTGGAGGGACTACTTGGAGGAAAGCTGAAGTGGAAGTCAAAGTTGTGGACCCCAGAATCCAACCAGCCATCTGAAAGCCAAACAACACGCTGCTATCACAAGCCTTTTAAACATTTAGGGTGTTTGGACCTTACAGAAACCTTGATGTTTCTCCCAGAATCCAAGGTGTCCTTAGCATCTGGTATTGCCCCCAAAGTGCCATAAAGGCACGGTATGGGCTGGGCTGTGCATCACCTCTGCAGTTCAGCTGCTGGATGTATGGACCCCTACCAGTTGGCAGACTTGAAAATGGCTGATCTGCCTCATTTTGACACAAGGTCAGCAAACCTGCAGCTCCTCACAAACTTTTTAGGATTTTCACTTATCAAAATGGAGTGCCACAGACTTTTAACTTCCCAAATAAGCACTAATAGTCATTTGGGAGTATAGCGGTGTAATAACTCTCATTCTTCTTTTATCATTGTCTACAACACCTGTGCATATGACCTGAAACTTTTGTTTCACCTGTGCAAAAGATCCCACTCACACACACACACACACACACAAAAAAAAAAATTGACACCTTCTTTGTGCAATTATGAGACAGGAAAATTATCACCCGTTCCTTCAAATGTCTGCTTCTGTGTCACTTCCTCTTAATCAAAATCAATTTTTTGTGGGTGAGGTCCCACTGCCTGTAATGAAAGACTATCCCACCTATGCAAGGGTAAGTTTGGCCTCTTCTGGCCAGATAAGATCAGCTCTTGACTCTTTTCTTCATCGAAGACCTATTTCTTTTAAACACATGTATCTGCTGGCAGTTTATCATCCAGACTGAAACTTTCCTTCCTCCTAGTAGCTCATGCCAAAACTTCACTTTGAACAGCAATATTAGAGAATGTGAGACTGCTAGAATTTTGTCCCGCTGACTACATCCTTTTGCAGATGAATTCAACAATGCCTTGAGTTTTAATAATCAAAACTGGATATTCTTGTTGGCAGAAGAGCCTGGATATTGTTTCCTTACAGTATGGGAGATTTAGCAGATGGCATAACAGCATTTTCAGTCAATCAGAGTTGTAACTCTGAAGGAAAAAAGTGCCTAAAACAATCTGAAAGGGAGAAAACTAGAATTCATCAGCCTCTTAGACAACTGCAATATAAAAAAGTTGTGTTCTCTATTCTGACAGTTTGTAGAAACCTAATATTCCTAGGGCCTTATCTCACACGATGTTGTCTTTAAGTTATTTTAGCAATAGAAGGTAGGAGGAAGGAGTTTGAACTTTGAGCAGATCTGCAATTTAGCCTTGAAAGAAATCAGTGTTCCCCTCCTGCAATGATCTGCAGTTGGGCCCTGGTGTGAGCGGTCTCTTTTGCAGCCCCAGCATGGTGTGGGGTTTTACTGAAAGAGTTCAAATGTCTCAGTCCCTGCTGCAAGTAAGGCCTGAGAGCCTGGCTTTGTGTGCAGGGCTGAAGTAGGACCTGTGGTGCAAAAAAGGCTTGCATATGCTTATTTAATTCTACACACAGCTTTAATCCCACTTTCTCTGGCTTGTTTTGCACCACTTCTAAAGAGACTTCTTTGAATTGTGCCCACTTGCTAAGCTGTGCTTAACTTTCCGCACAGACCCTCGGACTCAAAAGGACGGTGGCCTTAAACAATGTCCCTGAATTCACCCTGGAAGTGAAGGTGCTCCAAAAAACCTTATTCCCCTGAAGCCATGCAACAGAATTAATTCCACTTTAGGAAGTTTCCCAGCAGCTGCAGGGGTGGGAGGGTGCTCCCAAGAGTTAGCTCCCCAGAGGCACCTGGGGATACCACACGCTTTTTGTTCAGCAGAACCTGGGAACTTCAGTCACACCAGAAGATTTAAGTCAATTCCAGGTAATTTAATGTGTTACCTAATCAAAAAGAGTTCCATCTTGTATTTCCCAGCAAGGGAGATGATGGCTGTGGCTGTGGGGAAAGTGCAAAGAGGCTGCTGGTAGGAGTGACTTGAGGGGTCACCTTTCTACGAAGGACACAAGAATTTCCTGGGGTGTGACCGATGGAGTACAGCAGTGCTTGAAGAGCTTCAAACTGCCCTTAGTGTTGTGAGCTCCTTGACTTGGGGGGGTTCTGCTGGTGATGAGGGTGGCTATCACTGGTAGCACTGCAACTCGTCTTTCTCTTTTCTGAGTCTAATTATCCTAGAGCTGTTACCAGTCATATTCGATGACTGCCAGGAGTCAGTTCCTCCAGCAGTCTTTATCTCATAGAGAGACAATATTGAGTTTCTTGTGTGGTGGCAGGGCTTACCAGGGTTAGAAAGAAATATGTCAGCAGGCACCTGGATCCATGTATATACACTTCTTACAGAGACATCAGATGTGACCCGAGTAGGGCATGTGGTAAGATCAAATACTAGATAGTAACATGCTATCAAGAGCATATTAGCAGCTGAGTGTCAAAAGCTGACACAGGCAGCAATCTGTTCAAACACACATTTTGTGTATGCCAACAGCAGTGGGGGGCACAGGGTATGCGGGGTAAGAAGGGTCGGGTCCATATCTTCTTTCATGTTTTAAAATGGCTTTCTTGGACTTGTTAGAGCACTTCTACAGAGATGTAATCAATGCTGGAAAAGGAGGAAAAAGACAGTTACAGTTGTAAAAATCTGTTATTGAACTGTACTGCATTAGCACGTCTTGATGGATGTAAGTGTTCAGCTCTTTTGAAAACAGGAATATATGTGTAGGTGGCACTATACAGATTTAAGTGTGTCTTTAAGAAACACCAATTTGAACTTTAGCCAAGAAGATCCAGAACTGACGTGCTCTGAAAGTACTTGTTCTTATAATGGCAAAAATAATTTTTCCAACACTCAGCCTTTTGCCCTCTTTTCTTTCAGGGCTGTAACATCTGGTAGCCTACAGGAAGCATCAGCATGCTGCAGTACATCAAGGCTAAGACTCTAATGCATGTGTAAGGGGAAAATGACCTTTGGATGAGGTAGAGCCTTCAAGTCTGGGATGAAATGAAGCATGACCACTGCAGGTCGTAGCTCAAAAGCATAGTTTCCACACATTGGCACAGTGTAACTTCAGTACTAAACTAATCCAGGGTAGCAACCACCTAGGATCTGTAGACTAAATTTTCAGGATTCACAATAGACCCTAAGAAAGAGGAGCTGAGAAAGGGGAGTGCACCTCCTAGGAGGTTTTCATTTGCTTTAAGCATCCCCTGGAATAATTCACTGGTCTGCAAAGATAAGTGACTTTGGTGGTTGTTACATCCTCCTGACTTTACTCTTTTTAATAGATTTGTACATTTTAATAGTCAGCTCTGCATTTATGTGTGTGCATGTTGGGGTGTATAATGTCTGAAGGGAAGGTGCAAAGAAGATGGAGCCAGGCTCTTTTCAGTGACGGGACAAGAGGCAAGTTGCCCTGAGAGGTTGTGAAGTCTTATTCCTTTGAGAAATTCAAAAGCCATCTGGATATGGTCTTGTGCAACCATCTCTAGGTGACCCTGCTTGAGCAGGAGTTTTGGACAGATAACCTCCAGAGATCTCTTCCAACCTCAACCATTCTGTGATTCTGTGATTCAGTGAAATAATCACACTTTTGCAGGTGTTTTCAGTGTATGCCTCATATTTCTATCTCTCAGTAAAGATACAGCAGTAACTCTAATAATGCTTTTACTATAGTTGCAAATATAACAAAGTCTGTATACCCCATGGATACTTGCTGGCACGTAAGTCAACAAGAACACTGAAGGCAAGCATTTTGGATGACCAAAGAATACTTCAGTGATGTGCTTGTGACTAAAAGTTTCCTACCTGCTGCTAGACAGGTTGCGATAGATCTCTGTGCAACAAATGTTCACTTCACAGATAACAGCCACCAACCCGTGGGGAACTGCCCACACTCTCAAATACTGCTTTCTGTACAACACTACTGATTGTCGCAAAGCCCCAGTTCCCATATGATGTAGTGAAAAAGCGTGTGCCATGGGATAGAAGGAGAGCATATGGGCATTGGCAAAAGGAAGACTTCTTCCCCATTGAAAAAGATCTGACCCCAGCTTCCCTAGCCCAACGCCAAGAAGCTGTTCAATTAACCAGTGCCTCATTCCAGAGTTTTACCCTCTATGTGGAAATTCTTAGCTTTGGAGCTGTAGACAGCCTGGTTGGTGCAAGCCATACTCCTATCATAGTCCAGTTCAGGATTATCCTCCTCCAGCCACCTCAGGAAGCCTCTTCCCATGAGCTCCACCTCCACAACAGGGTCCACCAGGGTACTCCTGAGGTTCAGAACTGGTTGGCTGTCTATGCTGGAGCCAGTCAAATGCACCTCAATCTCAGGCAGCACCAGGTTAATTGCTCTCACTGTCAACATTTGCTGGGTGCTCGGTGCTACTGGGGTCCAAAGGTTGCATTGCAAGGTCATCTTCTCCACCCCCACCCCATGACACTGTAGTTTGTGAGGTCATGGCATGGGGGATGGGCAAGGAGGGTGTCTCACAGGGAGAGATCTCAGCTCTCCAAGCTATGCCAGAGATGATCAGAACCATTCATCTGATTATTAGCAGCCCCTAACTAATTGGCAAACATTCACCTACACATTTAGGAATGGTATCAGCAACACAGCAGATAAACCACAATTCAAGACACCGAGAAAATGTTGATAAACACCCAGAAATTTCTAAGCGCATTTTCCATGAGTAACCCCCAAAACTTTTAAGCATGCACACACACACACATATATGCATGGTTAGGTGCATCCTCCTCTGGGGTGCTGGTTGCACAATTCATGCACCTCTCCTTGGGGAGACATGGGTGCTCTATGTGCACCCTACCCACTAATCTATCCACCAGTGAGAACACACCCCACAAACCCCACACACACCATGGTGTTACACCCATCAGTGTCAGCATGCTGGCTGCACACAGACTGCTCGCACCATCTGGCAGTGGCAGCTTTGGCTTTGGTGGCTGTCTTTTCCCTCACCCCACTCCTGGGTCTCGTCTCCGGTCACAACTTCTCACACTTCCTTGAGATTTCTTTCGAGGCTGATTCTTTCTACTCTCATAAATCTGGTAATCCCCATCTACTGTTTAATTGAGCTGATGGCTGTCTCAAGTAAACTTCACCATTCCTACTTTCCTCATGGTATTACCAGTTTTGGGCAACCACCTTTCCAGAAGGCACAGTTTTGTGTATTGTGTTCACACCCGTTGTACACACACACCTCACTACCGCTTTAGCCACTGCTATCTGGGCATGCTACCAAGAGGGAGGTGTGCAAACCTCCCCGCAGCAAACTACTAGCAGTGGGTAGTAGTTGATGTCGCTGATGTTACCAGCATAACCAGTGGCCAGAAGACTACAGCAAATGCCAGTGAGATCTGAGCACAGCAGGGCAGGCAAGTGGCCACCACACCAGCCCTCTGGGCAGCAAGGTCCTGCACCTCTGACCATAGCCAATGGGCTCTTGGTCACCAATGCAGGATGACTGGCAAGATTTTATTGTAATGTAGGAGGCTTTGGTGAAAATGGCTAAAGGCAAGGGACAGAGATGAACCTCAGCCCATTTTGTCTCCTGAACTTCCCTTTGTCATATCAGAGCAATTCCAGCTAGCTGGAGCTGCTGCAACTCAATTATAATATTAAGGGGAAAGACATATTCCTTCCAAAAACCACCTCAAAACACTGTAAGACTGATCTGAGATAGACCTCAGATGCTGTTGGACACTTGGATTGAATGGGTGTGCCATGCTCTGACCCACATAGATGTGAGAAAGGAAGAAAAAGGATGCAGCATGGGAGATCAGAAAGACATCTTCAGCCAGGGGAGCCGGGGTGAAGACAGCAGCAGCAAAGGCTGCAGCAAGGATGATGTCTATGGCTGATGCCAGCAGACATCTGTGAGCCACTGATAAGTTGCGAGCCCAGAGTGAAAGCGCTGGCACCTGCTCTGCAGAACCCAATTCCAGAGGCAATGTTCTCAGCTGCAGGTTGAGGATAAGGGCACATGCTGAGAAATGCTGAAAATTAACTGATCAAGACCGCCAACAGTTTAGGAAACAAGTCACAGCAGCATGTTGAACTTTAAGCTTTCCTCCTCCATACTAATTAGTCACTTGTTCCAAAGCTGTCAAGATTCTCCCTCACAGCCTCTGTACCCCATCCTTGCTTACAGTGTTTTCAGGTGTTTCTTTTTTAAGGAAAAAAAGCAGTGAATTAATATGCTGACTGCAAACTGTCACTCAGTCTCATTTCTTGGCTGCTGCATCTCATTCTCTGAGCCTGTGCTTGCCTTGTCTTGTTAAAAAATAAACTCTTTGGGAAAAGAACTGTTTAATGCCCTGGGTTGTAGTGAGAAGGAACAGTTTCTCAACTGGGCACAGAATTACCAATAACAAAAATATCCTTTTTCTTACTTATGCTTGGCAGTTTTCAGCAGTCATCGCCTTGTGCACAAGTTGTGTGGTTACGGGTGGAAAAAATAGCTTATAGCTACTTGTATGAGTGATGATATAGCATCAAGTAAAAAAATTATAATTAGTGATAATATATGAATTGAATGCTAGATTCCCATGGTTTGGTGCTCAGGCAGATTTATGCTTTACAAAAATAGGGTATAGCTATGATCTCTATGCTGCCACTACGCCAAACCAATATTTCATCTCAATCTGTACATCCCCTGAGAATTTTAAGTGCAATCTGAGCATGCAATCGGCCAGAAAAGGAGGGAGCATTGCTTTCAAGTCACGGTTTGTGCTCCTTCCTTAACTCAAATTTCTGTCTTGAAGTTAAACCAGCTAAAAGTGAGTTGTGCAAATGTTGTTTCTTTGTACCTTGTGAAGACTCTGACAAAATGTTTTTTAAATTTCCTTTCCGGAAGAACAGTACAGTATAATTTTAACAAAAGTGAGCTTGAAAAGGTACAGTAGGAAATATTATATTCTGTCTTTGCCTATGTTAATGTGTGGTGTCACTGATTTTTGAGCTTTCAATTAACATCAGCCAAAACACAATCGTTTGTCCAAATCGGCTACACTTCAGAAGTTACAAATTAAAGGAAAATGGATCCATACCTCATTATATTTAATTTTGCAAACCAAAACCTGGCTTCCATAGCTTCCTCCCATTCATTTAAGAAGATCTATGCAGTCCCACTATGTTTCATAGTATTGTCCAGGCATCAGGGAAGACTGTGGCATTGTTTGCTCCTGGTTTCAGGTCTCTGAGACACACATGAACATTGCCTTAGGTTTGAGCCTCCTGGTTTCAGTGTAAAATTTTGAACCTGAAAACTCAAGGGGAAATGAAGGACCAAGCACTTGAGCTTAGTGTTGCACTGTGATAACACACATTGGTGCAGGGTTGTGTCGACAACCCCCCAGAGTAACCCAAGTCAGCCCTGAGGGAGCTGCTGAGACTCTGGGTCTGCACAAGGACTGGCTTCCCCAGACACCTCGAGGTCTGAAGGAACCAAGTATGGCAAAGCAGAGGGAAGACCTAGGCTGAGCTTTTGGGTTCATCACGGAACTTGGACTGGGTTGCACTTTAAGAAGATTCAATATAAAACTCGCACAGATCTCGTTTGTATTCTGCCGCTTTCCACCTGTATATGAAGGACCTGCATTTGCACACAAATTCCCTTTGTGAGTTAAGCTGCCTCTGTAGCTCTCCTGATGGTGACATGTGGAAAATGGAGTACCTGCATTTGAATTTTAAATTTCTTGTATTACAGGGGAATTAGGCCTTACTGATAGTGCTTTAGATGCATTAAATGCTAGCACTAGCTTTCTTGAAGCCAGCTTCACAACGACCTTATAGGCAGTGACATAGCTATGAAGAAACTGTCGTGGAGGACTCTTCATACACTCAGCCCCTGTTACTACAGAGGTTTTACAAGAGAGCATGAATCAGGCAAATGAATGCAGTTTCTTTTTGCCAAGCGGCGTCTCTCTATGGAAAAAATAATGTGTAATAAGCACTGTGAGTGGGATGGCCAACCAGAGCTAAATGGATAATTCTTATTTGGCATTCCCATACAATGGGTGATTCACTTGGCAATCACAAGGTCCAATTATCTTTTAATACTCTTTCTTGGATGCGATTATGATATATTGTACATACAAGTAGAAAATCAATGCTTTCACTAATAATGTTTTTAATTTTATTAGTGAGTGCATTGCAAAATATAACTTTTTTCATCTCTCTTCTAACTTTGAAGATTTTTTTTTTAATACCAGTATTAGTATTCTCCCTAATCCTGGTATTAAAAATTACCTGTTATTTTAATGTGGTCCGTGACATCCACAAAGCAGAAAAACACACCATTTCTACTGCCAGCTGGTTCTCCACCACCTTGTTCTACAATAGATGTAAAGAGCTGTGCCATACACCCATACAGGGAAACTAATTTTCATCAGAGGGCATGGAAGTGTAGTAGCTAGGGTTTTGTAAGCCAAAATCTCATGATACCTCTTCTTGTGAGGATCAGTGTAAGTAAGTCAGGCTGACCGTAAATTCAGAACATCTCCTTTATTCCTTGGCTAATCTCAACATTTAGTGAGGACATGCAAAAGTAAGAACCACTTTAAGAATTTATAACTGTACTTGGCAGGTGAGGGGGAGGTAAGAAATACAGCAGAGCCAGCAAGACTTTAAAGCTCTACCATGATAGATCTTACCTGGAGAAAGTACTGCAAAGCTGTCAATAGCTGCTTGTAAACAGTAGAGCTTGAAATAGGGAAAACATGTTTTTTCCCTGTCAGAATGGCACAAAGCCTTGGCTGAAGCCCTTGCCTGGCCTATCCATCTGGCTGATGTGAGAAATGAGATATCGATTTTTCTTATACCATACGATCAGAAACTTAGAGGAGCCACAAAGCTAGCAAACAACACACAGTTTATTACACTCTAAGTGAGACGTTGGAAAACTTTTGCAACACACATCTTTCTATTTACCAAATGCAGTTTAATTAACATTGTTAACCAAAGAAATATAGAACACACTGCTAGATTTGCTTATGGTGAGAACTGATGTAGCTAGGAACTTGCTTACATGCTGCAGCTTTCCGTGTTACAGATGATTTGTTCACTAAAAGGAAATAATTCCTTTGTTAAAAATGAGCTGTAAGTCTGCAATTTTTCAGAATCACGCCATTAAATTAGAAACACAGTTGCTGCTCATTTCAAGGACATGTGTACATCCAAAGCCATTCTCTATCGTTGGAATTATCGATCTAAGCACCCAGAATGATCTCTTATCTAGAAAATAGTACACAAAAGAAAATCATAGTGGAAAACTTCATACATTATAATTAAGAAATTACAAGTAAAAGTCAAGAGTATCTGTAGGTACTTGCAAGAAATTAAGATTTCCATATACAACAATGTAAGTTCTGGTCAGTCACTTACCTACAAAAGCCAAAACAGAGAAGTCTGAACATCCAGAAACATTAATGAAAATGAGAAAGACATGCTGCTGGCTACAATATTTGCCATCAGTATCAAGTTTGCATGATTTTATGCCTGCTAGAGAGACACAATAGGTTCAAAACTTTCTTAATAAGCCAAAAAAAGTCCCAGAGGGCTGCAGTATCCCATAGGAGGTCTTTTAATGATAGACCAGCACTCACATCCTAGGCATCTGTTCTGCTGGCTGCCAGTGCTTTAAATAGCCACTCAGCCTGTCTGCATTTAAATAAGCAAGTGGATAAATAGGCCTATTTCGATTTCAGAAAGCGTTACCAATGAGATGGACAAAACACCAGCGGGACAGCCACAGCGAAAGGCACAAGCCCAGGAGGAGCTGCGTGCCCCAGGCCCGCAGACCTTGTCCATCTCACATGCTGCAGACTGTGAGCGGCTTTGTTCAGAGCACAGAGGAGAACGTGGTGCTGTTCCTGACAAGCGGCTTTCTGGGGTCAGAAGTGGGAACCTGAATATTCCCCCCAAAAGTGAACAGAAGCACAGAGTGAACCTGACTCCGTAATAACAATAATGAGAGGAAATAAAACAAGCAAAACCCAAGCCCAGCAATTAACGTAACCCTCATAACAAAAGCACAAGGAACAAGCCTGATCACCTATACAGGTATCTAATGTGAGAAAATCTTAAAAGACAGAGTCTAACCCCTGACAAGCATTCAGCTGAACCTGTGGAGTGTGTACAACCCTCTTCTCTGTGCCCCAGAGATTTTTGGTCAGGGTTGTGTACCCCATTCTGGGGCCCGTGCTGCCTGACCAGGGTCTGTGGGTACCTCCTGGGCACATCAAGAAAAGAGCTTCCTTCCCCTGCGGGGTTCACTGTCCCTTCAACCCTGTGACTTTTTGTGCTGGACCCTGCAATTGGGTTGTCTCTTTCGGAGGTAGGTCCTCCCACCAAAGCCAAGGAGGAGTAAGGACTTCACCAGAAAAAGGGGGACAGAGCTGCTCTGATTTGTACCTGAAATACTGTGTCCAAAACACTTGTTGCATTGATTAATAGCCTTTTCATCCTGTTTTGCTGTTCAGGAAGGTATAACTGTTTAGCTACAACCTGTTCTGTCCTGGAAAGCTTCACAGGCCCTGATATGCTCTTCATTCTACTGAAGCATTTCCATTCTGCTTTAAATATTCATTACCTCAGTGAGAAGTACATAACAATGGCTTCTCTGGCTAATTTTCAGTACCATTCCTTGTCAATACCGAGTTTATAAAACTGACTTCCAATAAAAGCTCTCTGCTCCAGAATCACCTATGGGATATAGCCATGATAACCTTGGGAGGACACACTACTGAAAGTCCCTCTGAGCCAACAGTCACCCAGCGTGCTCTTGGATATGGGATGGTAGGAAGAGTTGGGTTGCATGAAAAATGCTGCACGCACCCCCCCAAAGGATACCACAGCTTGAGGAATCCCAACTACCCCCTGCCCTGCTCCTCCTGGGGCCTCACAGGAGCCACCAACCCATGAAAGGCTCATCCCCACAACCCTGAAGGGACTATGGCAGGGGGGACCCCTATGCTCCAGTAAGGAACAGGAGCTTCTGCCTGTCCCAGGGCTTTCCCAGCCCCATGGACTGAGGGACACCCAGCACCAGGAATCAGTGGGGAGGCTTTCTGGGTCACCCCACAGACTGGGGGCACTGCCTGGGGTACAGGGCTCCCCACAGGGTGCAGGGAAGAGCATTTGAATCATAGAAACATAGAATCATAGAATGGTTTGGGTTGAAAAGGACCTTTAAATGTCATCTAGTCCAACCTCCCTGCCATGAGTGGGGACACCCTCCACTAGACCAGGTTGCCCAAAGGCCTTGAACACTTCCAGGGAGGGGGCATCCACAACCTCTCTGGACAAACTGTTCCAGTGCCTCACTGCCCTCATAGTAAAGAATGTTTTTCCTAGTATCTAATCTAAATCGACCCTCCTTCAGTTTAAAGCCATTACCCCTTGTCCTGTCACTACATTCCTTTTTAAACAGTTTGTACAGCGTTTCTGTAGGTCACCTTTAGGTATTGGAAGGCCTCCCTGGAGCCTTCTATTCTCCAGGCTGAACACCCCCACCTC